TCGATTGTGCCTTTCCGTATTGGCCTATGTCGTCTCAACTACTGTAATCAACGTTTGCCTTTGGTAGAATATAGGCAAGTTTTCGCATAAAGATAGATGAGACCGCCAAAGAACACGGTCAGCACGCGGCATCCACGTCGGACCAACTGAACATCCCCGTTGCTCGGCGATTACAGACAAGTGGTTGTCGTGCGGGTTCCGTTTTCGTCCGGCTTGCAAATAAATTGGGAGGTGGCACAAGGTTATGCACGAGAAAATGGAGAGTGTAGACTCACTTATCCACTGACGATATTTTTAAGTTCCATAGGCGGGTGCGAGCTCTTTGTGATTTTCCAAGGAATATCTTCGTACACACCCAGTGCGAGAAGGAGAGCTAAGATCGATTTTATTGTTGGCAAAATTGCCCAATTGAAGCGATGTCCCCTGAAAAGCCTGTGCTATTTACCTCTTTTGTAATAATAGTTGTTAAATAGGCGTCCCCATTTGCTGATTTTCCGATTCGCAAAAGTAGTACTTAAGTCTCACAGAATGCTAGCAGTCAACAATTACGCTTTCCGATGGGAAGCATGTGTATTTAAATTCGGACGAGTCTAAAAACATTCCGCGAGCAATGAACCTAGTGGTCATGCCCCAAGTCTACATTCAAAAACGTCAAGTGCAACGTCGCACACTTATTTGCCGCACATTGAAACCGCAGTTATGACAAACGCCGCACAGGGAATCCAGAGGACACCGGGCAACCAAATTACCTTTTTCTAGTGCACAGCTGCAGATGACTTGATTTCCACATATAATTGTGGGGAATGGATCATTTTGTGCGTCCTTTTTAGAAAATACTATTGTATTCTTTGCAGTCAGCGGACAATTCGGACGTCTAGAAAGATGCTGAATTGTTGGTCAACATCCTGCCCTGAATGATAGTTTCTCACGCTGACCAGTTTTATAATTCGACTATGCCGACCTTTTAATCTGAACGCCCGTTGCACATTTTCGGTCAATGTTTCGGGTGTTTCGGTGCAGAGTGCGTGAAATAGAATGCTTAGACATCCCCCGAAGATCGGTAAGGGCGTAAGATAGTTGGACACTGGTAAAACAACGGGCAGGATTTTCGATTGTTTCAAAAATACCCTTTATTACCTTTGTGCCGCTATGTATTCTGGAGGGCGCACAAAAAAGAAAGAACCGATTAGATAGGCTAGCCTGACTTGTTAAATCAAGCATGCAGGCTTACCGGGCTATAAAGTCTCATAGTTGTGATCTCTATGCAAACATTCCGGGAGATTTTACTACAACTCATAATTACAAAACAACGTGCGAAAGGGTGATAGTAGACATTCACCCTAAGGTTCCGAACTTAGACTATTTGATGGCGCGTCAATCTGCCGGGCCTGTGCGTGAAGAATTCTCCTATACTGGGATTATTAAGTTTATTTTCCACGGGACGCGGCCCATGTGGGAGCG